AGGCAAGCACATCCTTCTGAAGCAATCAAATCTGTAATGTGATTCTAATAAAGCAGCAAAAATGTTTCTTTTGATCGTTTTTATTCTAGATTTAGCTGACTACTGAGTCAATAAACTTTATTATTCAAGTGGGCATAAATCCTTTTCTCTTATCCATGTAAAACACTTACTGAATTTCACAGGAATTGCACATATAGAATGAAACTATACCTCATTACTTGTTTATTTTCCAGGTGGAAAAATAAACATTATTGATTACAGATAAATGTGTGAGTGTACGTTTTCCTCCATTTCAAAAAAATGCGAGTGTGAGTGTATGTTTTCCTCCATTACTAATCCATTACTTTTGTCCTTTTTTTTGAGTCGGAATCTCACTCTGTTGCCCAGGCTGGAGTGCAGTGGCATGATCACGGCTCACTACAGCCTCAATCTGCTGGGCTCAGGTGATCCTTCTGCCTCAGCCTTCCAAGTAGCTGGAACTTTAGGCAGGAGCCATGATGCCTGGCTAATGTTTTGATTTTTGTAAAGATGAGGTCTCGTCAAGTTGCCCAGGCTGGTCTCGAATCCTGAGCTAAGGAAACTCTTTTACCGCAGCCTCCCAAAGTGCTGGAATTACAGGCATGAGCCACTGCGCATGGCTGGCCCCATTTTTGACAACCAATGTTTCAACTGCCTGTTCCAATTCTGTGTCAAACTATTATGCCGAAGATTTCTCTCTGTCCACAGTTGGACATTATGGACTGTAAAGCATGTTCCTTGACGAAGAAATATGACTTTGCGGTCCAGACTGGTGCAATATCTTCTATTACAATTTTTTTTTTAAATAGCACTCTGAGCATTTGCATCTACTATTGGGTAAGCAAAACCCAGACCAAAATCAGTGTCTGTTCTTGTGGGGAGCCGTTGGTATAGCCCACTGGGGCTATCAGCATCAAAGTCCATTTCCAGCCATGTTCAGGGCCTTTCCCCCAGGGAGTCTGCCACATAGGCATCTACAATCTCTGTCTCTTTTTTGGCAAATAGAACGGTTCTCATGGGCATTTTCTGCCTCACAGGATGCAAGAAAATGTGTCTCTATTCTGCCCGTCTCTGCATTGCTGCAATACAACCACACCCATTTGTTTTATGGAGTCAGAGGGGCTTGTCAAGCAAGTCCGTGGATATCCACTGGAACATTCCGGTCACCCCTGAGCCTGGAAGGAAGCTCTTCTGTTGGGTACACTCATATCCTGCTTTAATGTGCCTCCAATTTCTTTAGTGATTTCCACAGGGCCATTCCCACGGGCAGGCCTTTTTTACTTATTTATTGTAGATATGAGGTCTCACCAAGTTGCCCAGGCTGGTCTCGAATCCCTGAGCTCAGGCAATCCTCTCACCTCGGCCTCCCAAAGTACTGGGATTATAGGCTTGAGCCACTTCGCCCGGCCACAGGCAGGCCTTTGATAGGCCGGTTTCCTTGCCCATCGGTCTGATCCTATGGTCGGGCTGTTGATACCACTCATAAGTTATTATCCAACAGCCATCTTAATGGCTGTGAAGTGTTAACTCATTGTGATTTTGGTTTGCATTTCCCCAATGATAGGTGATGTTAAGTATTTTTCCATGTACTTACTAACCATCCATATATCTTCTTTGGAGAAATACTTAGTCAAATCCTTTGTTCATTTTTTAATTGGGTTGTGTGAATTTTGTTGCTTAGTTGTAGGAGTTTTGTTGCTTAGTTGTAGTTCTTTGTATTTAGATATATATATTTCCTAGCTATTAGTCCCTTTTCAGATTTACAAATATTTTCTGCCATCTCTGGGTTGCCATTTTTATTCTCTCTCTCTCTCTTTTTTTTTTTTTTTTGAGTTGGAGTCTCACTCTGTCACCCAGGCTGGAGTGCAGTGGCATGCTCACGGCCACTGAAGTCTCAGTGTACTGGGCTCAGGCAGTCCTTCTGCCTCAGCCTTCCAAGTAGCCAGAACTACAGGCACGCGCTACCACGCCCAGCTAATTTTTTGATTTATTGTAGAGATGCGGTCTCCCCATGTTGCTCAGTCTGGTCTTTAACTCCTGAGCTCAAGAAATCCTCTTGCCTCTGCTTCCCAAAGTGCTGGAATTACTGGCATGAGCCACCATGTCCGGCCTCCATTTTTACCCTCTTAATAGTGTACTTTCTTGTGCAAAACTTTTAAATTTTGATGAAGAACAATCTGTCTACTTTTTCCTTGTTGCATGACTTTGGTATCATATCCAGGAAGTCAATGCCAAATCCAATGTCATGAAGATTTTCCCCTGTTTCTTCTTTTCCTTCTCCTTCTCCTTCTCCTCCACCTCCTCCTCCTCCTTCTTTCTTCTCCTCCTCCTTCTCCTCCACCTCTTCTTCTTCTTGGTCAGAGTTTCAATCTGTCACCCAGGCTGGAGTGCAGTGACACACTCACAGCCACCATAGCCTCGACCTGCTGGGCTCAGGCGATCCTTCCACCTCAGCCTTACAAGTAGCTGGAACTACAGGTGTGCACCACCACACTTGACTAATTTTTCTTGATTTATTGTAGAGACAAGGCCTCACCAAGATGCCCAGGCTGGTCTCTAACCCTTGGGCTCAGGCAATCCTCTCACCTCTGTCTCTCAAAGTACTGGAATGGCAGGCGTGAGTCACCACACCCAGCTATGTCTTCTAAGAGTTTTATAGTTTGAATTCTTACATTTAGATCTTTGCTCTATTTTAAACTAATTGTGTATGGCACAAGGTACTAGTCAAATAGACTTATTTTTCATTTGTTGCAAAAACTGTTCTTTATCCCACTGAATGGTCTTGGCACTTTGATGTAAAATCATTTGACCATATATGCTAGGGTGTATTTTGTATCTTTAGAATAGGGTTACGTTCTTTCAATCATTTAAGATCATTGGTACTCATAAAACACAAGTTATGTGAACATATTTTTATTTTATTCTTATTTTTTTAGTAGGAGTCTCACTCTGTTGCCCAGGCTGGAGTGCAGTGGCACGCTCATGGCCAACGCAGCCTCAACCTCCTGAGCTCAGGTGATTCTGCCTCAGCCTTCCAAGTAGCTGGAACCACAGGTACATGCCACCACGCCCAACTAATTTTTTTTGTTTGAAAATCTTTTTCATAGTAACAGTGATTTTGCTGAAATTGTTGGAGCTCAGAAAATGATATCCCTAGCCAGACTCGGTGACTCAGCCTGTAATCCCACACTTTGGGAGGCTGAGGTGAGTGGATTGCCTGAGCCCGTGGGTTCGAGACCCTCCTGGGCAACTTGGCAAGATCTCATCTCTACAATAAATCAAAAAATCAGCTGGGCGTGGTAGCGCATGCCTGTAATTCCAGCTACTCGGAAAGGCTGAGGCGGAAGGATCGCCGGAGCCCAGCAGGTCGAGGTTTCGGTGGCAGGGAGCGGCCACTGCACTCCAGTCTGGGCGACAGAGTGAGACTCCAACTCAAAAAAACAAAAGAAAGGAAAAGAAAATGATATTCCAAAAGGCATTGTGGCATTGTGGCATGATGAGCACTCTGAACTAGAGGAAGGCCTTAGAAGCTCAAAATCAAGGACTTTCTGATGTCTCTCGTCTTCACCTCCTATCTCCCAGTGCAGTGTGGAATTTTCTCAAAAATGCCCTTATCTGCCTTAAAACTAGACCTGCCAAAGCAAATACAATAGCATTCCATCTCCTCCCTGAAATTTCATTATCTATTGTAAAAGGCAAAGTCAAACATCACAGCTACAGCCCAGAGGAATTTTGTCCAAAGGAATTTTGTCCTCTTGGGCTCATCCAACTTCCAAAGAGTATCCCTAACAAGCCAGTGTCCATCACTCAGGTTCATCCAAAGAATCCCCTCTGAAGAAGTGTAAACCAGCATCTGAAGTGTAAACCAGTAGCTGAACCAGCAGTTCAGGGAGTAATCACTCTCCATGATTTTCCCCTGTGCACATTAATACATTTGCATGTCTTTATCTCCTGTTAATCTGTCTTTTGTTGGTTCATGCTAGTGAAACTTCAGAGGGTAAAGGGAAGCTTTCCTTTCACCCCTGCAAAATGAAGGCAAGAAATTTTCAGGGAATAAGTATATAATCATTCATTATATACACATGTCTTCAATGCGTTACTCAGCTGAACACAGCTGCTGCATAACAAGCCCTGGAGATGTGCGATATTAATTTAACTCAGTAGTCTGATATTTTGCTCACTTTCATTTAAAAACCATAGTGTTACAATGTTGTGTGTAACATTTATTTGCCAAACCCTGGTCCACTCATCCCCTAGCATTTGTATCAAGTGATCCAGCACATTATGATTATTCCTACCATTAAGTTCTCTGAACATTAAAAATCTGTTTTAAATTAGACCGAATCCTTAATTTTCTAAAAATAAGCAAAACACACGCGCGCGCACACACACACACGCACACACACACACACACACACACACACACACACACACACACAAGGGGCATGACTGGAAAGTTCTAGAAGAGACAATCCGCAAGTGGTTTTTAGTATTCTAGACGTTTCCATGGGTGAAGGGCACTAAAATGTGGCTTGAAAACCAAAAACGTGGCATATCCATTGTGGCATCACAAAGCTGCTAAGCAGTTCTTTTATTCTTCGAACTATTGTCTGTCTTAAAATGACCCTGTCAACAGTGTGCATTTTGAGAGCTTTGCATATATGCCATGGGTCCTCCAGCAGCCGTCGGCCACCACGGCGCGCTCCGCGGCCCCCTGCGGCGCGACCGGCACTCAGCGCGGCCTCGGGACAGCAGCTGCGAGCGGGACCCGAGCGAGCCGCGGGGGAGCGCAGGGGAGGCACCCGCCCGCAGACCCCGCCTCCCCTCCCGGCCCCGCCCCTCCGCCGCGCGCATCAGGCTTGGGCCCCGCCCCCCGGGAGGGCGCCGCGGCCCCTGCGCAGGCGCAGACCCCGCCTTCTCGCCAGGCCCCGCCCCGCCGCCGCGCGCGTCGGATC